ACACACACACACAGCCCCCCTTCATTCTTTTCCCACTCACACACACAAATGAGCAGTCAAGGGCTACCCAAAATCCCTTGCGCCACACAAAGACAAGGGGGTGTGACCAATCACACACTGCCTCACTCTGCACCCGTGTTTTTTTCCCTCCCTCGCTGTGTAATGCCAACCGACATACAAGCTTGTGGGCGGGCTGCTGAGAGGGTTGCCATGACAACGCATCCCCAGTTGCTCTTTGTTGCTATCACTTGTACATACATTCACACACACACACACACACACACAGTCTTTACAGTCTTTACCCTTTTAAGATATCTGTAGCATGTCTCTGCTCTGCTATATACACAATGTGTGTTTGTGTGCGCCTGTGTGCGTGTATCTGCACATGCTCTCTTAGCCGGTTTTGCAGTACTTGCAGCTGGATTCTGGTGTGACCCAGTTAGAACACTAAGGCTGGATGTAGGACACACATACAGAACATTCCAGAACTATGAAATGATATCTTATGAATATGTAACAGTGCAGTTACAGTATATTATCATCTTAAAGAAGATGAAGTAGTTATCGTATTGTTTTTAAATAATTACCACATATTCTCATTCTCATAATATTCAGTTATGTATTGATAATACAGTTGTGACAGTATATACTAATTATACTACAAGTATAGTATACATACTAAGTATAGTATAGGACAGTCATATACTGATTAAAGAGTAGTTAGAGTACTTAGGTTAGGCTAGTTATTAGTGGATATCACTTTATGTTTCCAAGCAACAAGAAAGCCCTCCTCTGTGATATTATGTCTTTATGTTTCCTGTCTTGTTATGTTGGTTGATGTCTACTGTTGCAGTCCTTAAATAGTGTTGAGGACCGTCAGAGTTAGAAGTAAATTACTCTCTTTCAACAGAATCCAAACATTGACCAGTATTAGCGTTTCTAATTACTGGTAAATCTGGTAAACGCTATGGGATCAGCTTGTCATGCTATCATAGGTCATAGGCTTGCTGAGTGGTCAGAATGTGTTTGCATTTGTGTTTATAGCAGTGATTCTCAAACTTTGTCTGGCATGCCACAATTTCTTATCAATCATTAACAATGATAGGGAAACCAATAATATATCTGTATCTGTTTAACCAACAAAATGCTCTGCTTCTGTATCTGTATTTAGATTGAAGGCCAGAGCTATAGACATATTTTGAAGCCTGTGCATACCACTGATAATCAATTATAAATGTACAGCTTTCCTCTTTATAGCCTCACTACAATTAATCATGAAAGAGACTAAAGTTAGACATTTAAACACAAACGAACAACAGTAAATAAAATGAGCTATCGACACAACAAGCAATATCAAAACAGCACCAAAGCAGACAACACAGGGTATAGAAGAAGAATATAAACTCCCCAGCGGCTGCAGCCCAAAGACAAAAATTAAAGTAAAGAGAGCTGCACTGTCCTTAAATACTGTGTAGCATGCACACACAATGCTATGTTGCTAGGTAACATTATTAGCTTAATTCGAAAAGAGTCAGGCCTCCGCATAATCGATTACTGGCGATTGCCACACTATGCATGCCATTTACATTTTGGCCCACCTGATGATGACTTGCTTTGATGTCATGCACACATGGGCAATGATGACCTCACGAGATTGAGGCAGCCACAGTTTTGAGGGCCAAGTGCCACAGTTGTTCTCCAGCGACTGCAAGACCCAGGGCATGATGGGAAACACTTGGCATGATTGAAGAGCTAACCACTTTGACCACAAGCACCATGTTTTGTAGAAAATCTTAATTTTCAGTGTGATTGTAATAGTTAACACTAGATTGTAGACTATTATCCTCATGTTATGCAATGATAATAATAATACATTTTATTTATATATTTGAACATGGTCTAAAAACTACAGGTAGTCTACAGATGGATCTAACAGGATGTAAATAGTTCTGTATATTATTTGAAGGTCGCTAGAAACTTGACTGCAGCTTTTGTCATCGACTCCTGTTGCTGCCGCCTGAGCGCTTCCATTTTCCATGTGAAACGCAGTTCATCTCAAACTAACCTTTTGTACTCACCAGTCTGAATGTCACTCTGTGAGCCTTATTACTGCAAAGTCCTCAACAATCTGGTCTTGATTCAACTTCTGCTTGACTATTCTAGTAAATATTATACTAGTCCTCTCAGCCTGTCTGTCCCACTATAACCAGTCCACTTAGCTTCTCTGCCCCATTGCGCTCTTCAAAAAGTTTTCAAACTATTTAATAATACATGCAACCATTATGTCTGTCGGTTAGTTCATGCTTATATAAGCAAGTGTCAAATGTTGTTTTACATGAACAAAAACATAAAATTTAAAGAAATTTAGTTTTTGTGATTTTTTTGGCATACATTGTTAAATAGGGGTACAGTATAACCAAGGACGCAATCTCAAAGGGTTTAAATTCCATTTTTCATTTCACCTGGACTTCAAATCAGTTTTTTGTCACTCTAAATGAGTAAATAGTAAGAGAATATCCTCAAATTTGCTTTCATAGATTATATTGTTGGTAACAGAACATCTTTAAGTGTGACTTGGTGGATTACAGACCTATTACAGGCTAGGATTACCTGTTCCCCCAGGTTTAGCCCACATTTTCTAACCCTATGACCCTATAATTGTGCTTGGCTTGCACTTTTGGCTTGCTAGCACGACAAAGACAACACTAACACTATCTTCAGTCTAAATCATTAATTAAAGCTGCAAGCAGCATTGAGCGGGACCTCGCACTCCACGCAACTCGGGTGTATCGCGGCTGCATCACGTGCTGTCGTAACACGTGCGGACCACAACATGAACATTTCTTGTAAATCAATAGAAAAACGCCACACAGCGCTGTCTGCATGTTGCCAGTAGGTGGCCCTATCACTGGTCTGAATATTATCATGTAGGATGTGTTCATGGCAAGGACTTTTTTTTAAACATGGTGAAGTCTTCATTGGTGATTGGATTACGTACGATGACAGTTATGGTGAACTTCCTCTTGCCACTAGGTGGCGGTATCAGTATTACTGTATTTGATCACATATGCATGTTCATGGTGGGACTCTTATCAGACAAGTGAAGTTTGGAGCTGATTGGACAATGTACACTTGATGTAGCAAATTCGTGTTGATTTTGCCACGCTACAGACACGCCCCCTTATTACAGTCATCACTTATGATGGAATTCACAACAATAACCACCAAATAAACAACAAATAATCACAATACACATAAGCCACACTAAAAAAAATTATTCTAGAAAAACTATGTACAATATTAGTGACAGTGGCGTTT